TGAGCTTTTTGTTTCCCATATAATATATTTTTTTATATTTTAATTTAATATATGTATGTAAACTAATTTATGAATTGTTATAATTTTGTTATAAGTACTCAGTTTTCATTTTTTTAAATGAATGCCTTATGCATAAGTTTATTATAAATATTTGCTCTAAATTGAAAAGTATATTAAGGAAATAACAAATTATGTATATTATTAAAGTGTTAATGAATTGAGAAAGTTTAATTCTATTATTTGTAAAGCCGTAATAAATTCTTAATAATCGACAACCTGGTTTAAAACGTATATACAAACTATTAACTATTTTTAAAATTTTGTTATATTTTTATTTGCCACAAGGGTTTGAATGGTTACAGTAACCACTGTAAAATTGCAAATTTTTAAGGTAACCAGTTATTGTAACCTGTAACTTTGTCTTAGTTTCGTTCCCTTCAAGATCTTTAAAAAAAATTTTTGAAAATTGTAATAAAAAACTATTATTGCTTTAAAAAAATTGTTAATTAATTAATTATTAATTTAAAATTAAAGAAATCCATTTAAATAAAAAGAAAATAATGAAAAAAAATATAAAAAAATATTTTTTCATATAATAAAAAGAATTCAAATTAAAAAATAGTATTCAATATAAAATCAATATGAAAAATTATTACAGAATAAAAAATATTAATAACAAAAATTTTCAAAAAAGCATAGGTTACTGTAATCTTACAGCAACCCTCAGTAACGTTGCTGTAATCTGCAACGTTACAGATGCTGTAAGTGTAACCGTCCAAACTCTACTTAAATGAATAAGCATATTTTCATACTTGCCACTAAACAAAATTTGTAGAGATTTTCTAGACTTTTTCAACAATATACCGATTGCTCATTGATTTTTGTTAATTTTCTTTTTCTCGTTTTTCAATTATATTAAAAAACTCTTAAAAAAGTGCTTATACGCCTTTTCGGTGATATCTGAACTTTACCAGTATTTTATTAAACGTTCGTATCGTTAGTTTTTAAATTTGTTTGTAAAAGAACTATTTGAGGTATGTGTTATCCATTTCGAAATAAAAACTCCATTCAATAACTTATCAGATGTAAATTTCAAATACTGTAATTAAAAAATAGTAATGAATGTCAGACTCTAACTAAAATTGATACTTTCCGTTAATATTTTATAATATTTGTATAAAAATTTTTGGCCCTTAAAAATTTTATATGGATACTTGTAAATAGTTAATTACTTTATGTAAAACCAGTATACATCAGTATGAACACCAATAAACTTTTGAAAATCGGCTCCAACTTTTCTTGTCAAATCTTTTAAATAATAACTTTTTATAAAATTCAAAAAGAACCTAAACATTTAAGAATAATTGATTTAAAAAGATGAAAGAAACACACAAATGTATACACTTAATTATATACATATATAATTATAGATGTATATATATATATATATATATATATATATATATATATATACGTATATTATGTATTTATATGTGTATATGCATAATTATAATTATAATGTACTTCAACTCCCTACAAACAATGTAATTAAATTTTATCTAGTTTATGGTAATTAAAAGATAAAAAAAGAAAATTTAAGAATAAAAAAAAATACAAAAAATTGTATAAAAAATTTCAATATGAGTGGTTCCGTAATTATATATGTATATTTTTTTCTCATCATCACAAAATATAAGGTTGCAAAAGAAAAGAAAGATAGAGGAGAAGGTTTAATATACATATCTACTTACATATATACACATACTATCGTAGAAGGTAAAAAATCAAACACAAAAAAAAAATGGTAAACAATTGCAAGTTTTCTTTACTCGCACATTTCTATTAAGTAAAATAAAAAAATGGCGGTAACAATAGAATTTAAGACAAAAAAAATTATAAATTCCAACAAAATAATAAAAGATATGCAAGTAAAAAAAAATTTAATTGAATTTCCACAATTAAAGAAAAGAGAACTAGCTGTATACTAAATAAAATTAAACAAACTGTCAACAATATTTTAGTAATTAAATCTTAGAGTTCTAGTGATATTTTCATGTTTTACAATCATTAATTTAAAATAAGAAAAAAGAGAACAGGTTATATTACTAGACTGACTGTTTTATATATATATACATACATATATGAAAATATATTCGCATGCGTATGTCATCATATTATTAATTCTTATTTCAAGAAACGCAAGGTAATATGCGTTTATCCTATCCTCTATATAATTTGAAATTCCTGTTTTTCAAATGGAAAATGAAATACTCGTAAATACTAGTTTAAATTTTCAATTTCAATATTTTTGATTTCAAAATACATAATGTATTATGTAAGTTTAAATACATATATTTATAATTTTAATCGATATTTTGCATATTAACCGTCTAATAAAAAAGTTGTGTATTTTTAATAAAAAATTCAATTATGTATAATTAAAAACGCAGGAAAAGACTTTTTTAAATAATTATGAAAAAATTGATGTTCCATTTAAAATTATATTTGGTTTCTTTTAAAGTATTCTGGGTTAAGTGAGCTTATTTTCAATATTTCTGCTATAAATAAAGTATTCAACGAAAATTCAATGAATTTCTAAATATTTGAGTTTGAAAAGATTTAGAAATTTATATAAAAGCGTTCAATAATTTTTTTAAAAAAGTATATATAGGTTCGGCAATTCTATACGGAATTGTACAGAAAGTCTTAAACATAGTTTAGTTGTTACAACACTTTTATATAAATTGCAAATACCCAGCAGTTATTTACATTAACCGTAATAAACTTTAACGATATTCAAACAGTGTATACATAATGAAAACGCGCCAGTGAATGAGCCCCGCTAGGCCACTTTATCTACCCCATTGTACCTTATGTATAAGTACATATAATATCTAAAAAATTAGAAATCATACTGTAAAATTTCCAATTTTTATTGGAAATGAAAGAGATTTCTAATTTAAAGAGTAAAAACAAAATTTGATTTAAAAAGGAAAATAAATAATGAAGTTGATGCGTTGAAGTTAATTTATCTGAAATAGTCATTTAAGATAGGGGGATTTTCGATAATTCAGGCATGTACTGGAATTTTTAAATTAATTTGTAAGTCTTTTCACACATACTTACAAACTGCAGAAACTGGATATTTTACTTTTGCAGATTTATACAATACCCAACAATATTCAATTATGCCCTTCTTGTAATTTATGATATTTTGGTAATAGTTTTAAAAAACTTAAAAATTCGTTAAGAACTTTAAATAAAAATCTCATTTTCGAACATGCTATTTTGACAGATTTTAAAGTTTGGATTCATCGACCCCGCTTCATATTAAGACCTAATTAAAATGAATAATATCGAAAATCTTCAATCTAGCGTGTCATAATAGAATTTTTACAAATACTTATATAAAATTTTTGGCTGAATAAATTTTTTTTACAAAATTTATCATTTTAATTAAATTTTTGTATAAAATTAATAGTAAATTTTCATATCATAATAAAGTTAACACCAGTTTGATAACAAAAAAAGTAAAAACACAAACAAATAAAAATTAATAAAAAAAGGCGCTTTCGAAACACTTCTATATACATACTTTCTGTGATAAGATCTAAAAATATTTTATTGATTTTGTGATAGGGAAAAGTTGATAAAAATTTGTTTATACTAAAAAAAAAAAATTAATGTTTTTTTTCTTACAAATTGATAACTTTATAATTTAATTGATTAATTTTTTTGAAAAGTGTTAGTCGTTATTTTTTCCTGTTCTATAAAATCAGCATAAACTTAACTGCATACATACAAATTAACTACAAAAACATTTTGTTATATAAAACTTCAATGTGCTGACAGGTTAATTTATAATGAGTAATGGGTTAATTTTTATATGTACATACTTATATATAAAGAATGTTGGGCATTGGAACGAAATTAAATAAGTCATAAGTTAAGCTTTATAATATATTCTATAATAGGCATACTGTCGAAACTTAAATTCAATAGATTTGAAATTGTTCAGAAGTAATAAAGACTTTTTTTTATATTTAGTATTATTGTAATTTTAATTATAGGTATAGGTAGTTTCTTTATCTCATTGCGGATACTAAATCATGAGTTTTGATTTAATTTTAAAATATTATAAAAAGTTACAATTTAGTTTGGTTCCAACCTCCTCTATTTGAATTCAATATATAGAAATCTCTTTTATACAATTGTCTTCTACAATTGTATTCTTGAAATTAGATTTGTAAAAATGCCTTTAATTAGACCTATTGATATGGAAATACCAATTGTATAAGTACTATATATCAATACTTCAGTTTATAAATAATTACTTTTTCATTATATTTTATTTTTTAATCTTTATTTGAAACTTTTTATTAATAAATAAATTAATTACTTTAATTAAAAAGAAAAATTAAGTTCATTGTTCTTATTTTTTTTTTAATTTACAAGAAATTTACAAGATTGTTTGAATTTACAAAAAATTTATTGTCAATTCAAACAATCTTGTTATTAATAATTTTTTATTTTCATGAAATTTTTTAAAATTTTATAAAAATAAAGTTAAAATTTATAATAAAGAATTAATGACAAATCTATGTATATCTTTTGTTAATTTAAAAAATAAGAGAAAATAGGCAAAATATTATTCTTACATAATATATCGTCGGTTAAAATTGTAAAACTAATCAATTAGTGCAATTGGATTGATCTCTTTAATTTCTGGGTTAATAAACTACATTCTGGATTTGTATGATTTTTTGCCACAACAAAGATTATATTATTCTGATTTAATTCATCTATGAAATCCGAATTCTCAAAACATGCACTTAGTGCTTTCTGCTTTTTAACCGACGATATAACGTACCTTATATTTTATAATAATAGTTAATTAATTCTTATATCTTACAAACATTTCTATCATATATTTATACATTTATCATAATTACTAACAATCTAATTAATTAATATTTTGTATTTTTATTAAATATTTTTAGTTGCGAGTTCAATTTGATGATACATTAACATCAACATTTGAATATCCATCAGAGTCTTCATTATTAGATGAATTTGCTTTGACACCGAATGATAGTTTTTATGCAACAAATTCAAATGAAACAGATCAAATAGACAATAAATCACATAATATTGAAGCCGAAGAATTAATACCAATTCAAATGTTATCATCATCAACATCATCATCAGCTACAACAATAACATCACCATTACCAACTCATACAAAATCATTGGGAAATATGCCAATAGGTAAGTTCATCTCAAACATAATGTGAAAAAAAAAATGTTTGTATCAACTTTTTGTTTTATGTATATTTAATTAAATATGTTTATTTAAGCTAATTGCTATTGTTATTTTAAATTAATACCATTATTATGATTTTATTTTCATTTCTTTTGCAAATTTGAAGAGTAAATTTTGTTTTTCTTTTCTTATTTACTATCTTTGTGTATAACTAAATTATGTTATGGTATATTTAGTTTATAAGATTATGTAATGAATAAACAATTTCAAAAAATTAAATTATAAGTAAAAATTTTTGTATTTAGATTTTAAAATATTATGTAAAATACAAGTTCATAAAAAACACACATTTATTTTATAGTAAATTTTTATGAATTTTTTTGAATTTTTAGCTATGTAAAATGTAAGATAAAATGTAATTTGTTTTAGTTGTAGGAAAGTAGAAACATTAAATAATAAAATAATTATAGTAAATGATGCTAAAAGATTTAAAAGACAATTATTGTTATTTACTTTCAAATCAAATTCAATATGAAAAAGGAAATGAGTTGAAAGTAAAGTAAAAAAATAAAAATTGGGTAATTTGATTTTTAAATTTAAAAAGAAAGCAGAAAAATTTAATGATTTTCTTATTTCCCGTGACCAATTCAATTTTATTTTTAATTTTAATTTTGTATAACATATTAAATAAAGAGCAATTTTAATTTGAATAATTTTTTAAAATTTTATATAATACTTTGAATACTGTAAATCAATTTTAATTTTATATCCATTTTAATTGAGTTCTAAATTTTCAATAAATTTATGTTTTCTTTCATTAAAATGATAATGTGCGATCAATTCCACCATTCAATTAGCAAAATTTCTATAATAAGCCCAAACATTGTTATATTTTAAGAATCACTAGCCCCTTATACTTTTGTAAAATATATTATGTATAAAAACTGTAGTTTTTAGCCCATTGCTAAACTACACTTAGATAGTATATTATATTTAATAATGAAAATTTTATGCAGAATTAGGAAAATTATTTTACCATAAAAACCAAACAAAAACTTTTTTGAAATTTTAAAATTTTTGAAAAATAAAATTTTAACAATAATTACTTTTATTTCTAGATTATTTTAATTTTATTTAATTACGTATTAATGTCGTATAGAGATACGTATGCATAAATTTAAAATGAAACTCAAGTTACAATACAAAAAATTATTAATAGTATAATGATTTCAATTAATATGAGAAAAACGTTGTACTATTTGATGCACTACTTAATGCTAAGAAATATTAAATAGAACTTCATTTGTTTGTAAATATTAAAATATATATAGATATGTATAAACTCCCCACCTTATAAGAAAAAAAAACAATTTCAAACTTCCAAAAAATCAAAAACCAATAAGTATTAATAAGACATACACACAGAAACAAAAAAAAAAATACATCTTTTGTTCACAGATAACCAAAAAACTAAAGAGGAAATTATTACACCAATAAAAATAACTACAGCAATAATACCTTCTATTAATTCAGATGCTATAATATCAACAGTAAAAATATTACGTCCATCGGATCCCCCACCACCGATACCACCTACAAGAACGAAAATATTAAAAATAGTATCAGAAAAACCAATGTCAGTACTAACAACAGCAATTGCTACAGCAACAACGGCAACGACATCTGCAGCAACAGCAAATTTTTATCAATTGCAATCGAAATCTTTAACATTACCATTAACTAATAAAAATTTATTAGAAAAAGATAAAATAAAAATCAAATCAAATATATTATTGTCACCAACAAATTTACAACCAACACCACAACCACCACCACCGCCAGTTCCATTGAACAAACCAATAAATTTTAAACCCAAGCCATTATTATCATCATCATCATTTTCATCATCAAATAAAACTATTTCACCAATTAATTTTAAACCCTTAACACAAATATCATCATCATTAAATAAATTCAATATAATAGCAACGACAAATATTAAACCTTTTTCATCTTCAATATTTCAATCTCCATTGGTGGTTCCTATTAATGCAACAATTACAAATGATAAATTCAAATTAAATACAACAAATAATTCAAATATTTCTACACCATCAATATCAACGACAACTTCTGTCAAATCACGTATTTTACAATTTCAAAAATTGGAATCTGAAAGTGCTAAAAGTAGAAATATTTTATTAAAAATTGAAACATCCAAATGTTCATCAAATAAAACCAATAATAATAAAAATAATAGTGGTTTATTGAAACTACAAAAAACTGAAACTTCATCAATTATTATTCCATCAACAACAACCGATAATTCAAGAACAGATCAAGATAAAAATTCTTCAAATTCTGTAGTTTTCAATTCATTAATTTCAATAGGAACTGAATCGATAGTTTAAAAATAATAATAAAAATACACAAGGGCCTGTTTAACTTTACGAAAAATTTTTAAATTGAAAACATATATATAAATATATATTCATAATTTAAAAAATATACAATTATATTATTCTTATTTTGTTAAATTGAAATTTAAATTAAAAAAATTTCTTATATTTCGATGCAAAAATTAATTAAATATTTTTGTTCTTTTTTTTTTTTGTTTAAGCACTTAAAATTTTTCAATACATAGTGTAGAATTATTAAAATATATATTTAATTTAAAAACAATTATAATCTCTATATTTATATATAGCTGAAATTATTTATTGTTAAATTATAATTTATATTTTTAAATGTGTGGATTTTCAATAATATTGTTATGTTATTTAATATTCAATTTTAATTATGCATACATATATATTAATAATTACTAAAGTTTAAATTAAATAAAGAGAAAAACAAAAAAAAAACAAAATTTATTCTATATACTTATATATTAAAGATTATTTATTATAAAATGTTATTTAAAATATAAAATAATAAACTTCATATTGATTTCAGAAATACTAAAATTCAAAAAATTATAAAAGAGTTATAAACGTAATTCCAAATATGTAAAATGACTATGCCGTAAATTGTAAGTTTAAAAAAAAAAAAATTAATTTTTTTTGTTTGTTTTTTTTGAAAACACAAAAGTAAAAAGTTGAGTTACACTTATTTTATATTAATTCAATGTACTTATGAATGTTTGTATTTATGTACGTATGTATATGTCATGTAGGTGAGAGAGTGGCCGTTTCTCAGTGATTCAAATGTGTATAACTTACGTTAATCATGAATTCTAACGCGAAATGACGTACGTCATAAATTCCAACACACGTTGGCAACGTAACTAAATATTTTTTTATTTTTTTTTTTGTATAAATAATTTTTAAATTTAAAAAATGTGATTTTTAAATTGTGATTGTTCCAAAATCAATCAAATGGTGTGAGTGACATATTCGCCAAACTTTTGACATACTGGGAAACGGCATTTTGTAAAAAAGAAATATTGTAAAAATTATTTCAAGTTACAGAATTATTATTTTTAATTTACTCCGCGTTGTTTCTAGTTCTACAGTTCAATAGTTTAAAATTCTGTAATAATTTTTTAGTAATGTAAAAATGAATTTTCCGAGTTCCTATTTTAGTACAAAAATTAGTTTTAAACTTCGCGATTTAAAATCTGCAAATTTTTAGTTGTACATTTTAAATCGCAAAAATAATTCTTTTCTAACATATATTCAAAAATATATTTCTTTTTTACTATCTCTAAATTAAAATAGTTTGTTGTTTAAATTTGTGTTAATGTTAGTAACAATATTTAAAATATATTCACCCATATTGTGGTAGCGTACACCATTCAAATATCGCATCAATTTATACTAGAACATCTATAAATAGTATGTAGATGAAAATGGTGACAACTTCGACGTGAATGTAGAGTCAATATAACCGCGTGCGCTGTTTCTGCAAAACTTTACATTATAATGTGATAGTAATTTTTTATCACCTCAATATTTGCATTTGATAGACCATCGCGCCAAAGTCATTTAGTTTAATTCATTTAGTTGGGGGAAAATAGTTCTTTTTACAGAAGAAAAAGAATAACAAATACTCTAATAAAATTAATGGTAGACAATTCCGATATAGTTAAAGATTATATACTCAAACAAAAAATAGCAAGTTGTTCTCAAATTTTTTAAGTAAAATTTTCAAACTTTTTTCAAAATTCTGAAATACTTAGAAATCTAAAAAAAATTACTATATTTTAGTAAAGGGATTATTTTCAGGCAAGGGATTGAAAAAAATCACATGACCTTAAAATAAATAAATTTTTCACGTCATTCTATTTTCAACATCATCACGTCAGCTGTTAATGCTACCAACTTAAAAACACCTTTTATCGTTTCTAGAAACGCGACTACCAGAAAGGCATACATATTTGGTAACAACACAATGTGGGTGATTATTTTTTTTATTGTTTTATTTGTTTTACTGTTTTGTTCTTTTAAAGTTTTAATTAAAAAAAGACCATCATTTTGTCTTTTTTGATTTTAGAAATCTCACGTTTGATGTAAACGCACCACTATAATATTTGAACATAAGTGTATGTCCCAACATAAAAAAATTTACTTTATAAAATTATAATTTAATTATTTTGGTCACCTTATTGTTCCAAACTAAAGAAATCGGCATTAATTATTCAGAATTTCGATCAGTTGTCAATAATGATGATCTTTGATTGAATGAATTTTTACATTTGTTATTTATAATATTTATTAATAAGTTTATAATCACTTTTAGAAAATGAATAAGTAAATAATTATGTTTAATTGATTATTATAAACTTTGTGAATTTCTAAATTATCGAAAATCTCAAAATATTTAAAATTATAATATCGTTTTTTAATCGTGTTGCAAGGAGTTTAGATAAATTTTAATTGATATCATATCTTTTACGCAATATGAGGGATTTTATTTTTTCGATTACTTTCTGAACACAGAGTGAACACTAGATTACTATTTTTACTTTAAAAAAAAAAAACACAATAATGCAAAAATTTACGTCAGGGTTTTATTGCACCAACCACTTTTACTTTAAAACTTTTTTATGTAGTACAGTTCGTTAGTGTTTTGACTCTTGAGTCTTGATGCAACAGAAACTTTGCAAATTTTTTGAGTAACAAGAAGTAGTTGATGCATTAGGACCAAGATGACAGGCAAAATTTTGATGATTTGAAAAAGTATTATTTAAATGTGTGTATCTGCATTTATTATATTATTAACTTTTTATAATTTAAAAATATTTGAAAAGCTATGATATTGCGGAATGATAAGGATCACCAAAAAAAAAATATAATATCACAAAATCACATGCGTGTTTAGAAAAATTTTTTTAGCAATTTTTAAATTAAATAAAATTAAATGTTCTAATTTTAGTATTCTGAAATCAAATTATTATTTTCAACATTAAAACAACATTGAGAAAATTTTTTTTTCAATAAATAAATACAAAAAAAAAACAATTAAAAATGTTTACTAAAAATTATTTTTCTTTCTTTTTTTTTGTTATCTTTTTTTATTTTTAGGATCAGTTCCATTAGGAAATTATACACCAGTTAAAGTACAATTGCAAAGACATTTTGAGCTTGGTGTTACACGAGTGCCAAATGCAATAGATGGTCAAAGTATTGATGATTTTTTATTGTGTGAACAACAACATCAGCAACAACAGCAAAATATTCATAATAATAGTGATAAAAATGCAATAATTAATTCAAATAATGATAATAATAAATCATCATCAATAAATTCTTTAAATAATAAAAATGATTATAACACAAAAAGTACAAATGGAATTTATACAGATAATATAACAGCTGATGATGATAAATCATTATTATTAACAGATACCGATAGTCTACAGTATTTAAAACCAGCAACAGATGATCTCACAGTTGTTTATAGTGAAGGAACGCAAAAAACAGATTTACTTTATTAAATCAAAGAAATGACAAAAATAAAAAAATCCGATTTAATTTATATGTGTATTAAAACGTCATCATAACGGAACCGGATATTAAAAAAAAATTGTTAAAATAACAATTATTTTTAAAAATTGAGACGAAAAATAAAAATTAAATTTCTTAATTTTTTTGTATTTTTCTCTCTTTTTCTTTAATAATTAAAAGAATATATTTACATTCATATTTATATTTATATACAAATATTATATGTTATTTTTATTTATATAAAAATAGTTTTATATGCATACATAATTAATATATAAATTTAATCAAATAATTCTTATACCAACTTTTTTATATAGATGTTTTTCTTCTACACTATTATATAAAATATATTCAATAAAATTAAAAAAAAAAAAAACAAATATTATTAATTAAAATCGATAAAATTTATATATAAAATTTTTTTTATAAAGACAAAAAAATTGTATACATCCAAAATTATAAATGCGAGAAATAAATTTTTTTTTTTTATAAAAATCGTTTTAATACATGTAGATAAATATTATTTTATTTAAAACATTATTTATATTTAAAAAACCATGAATAAAATTAATTAACAAAAATATTTGATCAAAATATAAATTTCTTTTTTCTATTTTCGCTCTATTTTTATATAAAATTTGTTTTTTAGGAAAAAAACTGTATGTAAATTAATTTTTTTTAAGGATTAATATTATAATAAACTGTTAGTTTCAGAATTTCAGTTCTTATAATGCATTTCAAAAATTCAGTGAAGCAGTAAAATTTTCTAAAATGTAATTTGCAATCAAGAAAATGTGGGAAATCCAGTATACAGTTAAGGTATCAATTTTATGACTGTGAATTCCTAAAAATTAAAACGAAGAGGCGTCACAATAAATTTCAAGCATTGCACGTTGCGGAAAAAAATATATTGCATTTAGAAATTATAATTTGAATCAAATTGAATTTTCGAAAATGCTCTTAATTCATTATAAAAAAAAACTAGTTAACAGTAGATCTAATGATATAGTTCGACACTCCTTGGCATTTTACCACAAACTATTTCAATTCAAGCTCTATTATGGTAAAGAAACAGCCTAAAACTAAAGGGATTAAAAAAAATCACTTAATTTCATAGAGCAAGAATGTGATACTACAATAAGTTTAATTCTTTTACTCAAAAACAAAAAAAATTTCATAGTAATTTTAAATTTGATACACCTTTGAAAACACAAATAAGAACCATCTAAACTAACTTATATACTACCTAAGAAGTAAATGGTTTCACGCTTTATTGGTGTGTAAACTTTAAATTAGAACGAAACATGAAAGAGCGATTTCTAGTTTAAAATTTTAATGCATTTAAAAAAAAATTTTATATCGAAAGTAAAAGAAAAGTAAATATTTTTACTTTAATTCTATTCTTTAATTTGTGGACTTAGTTTCCATATTTTGTTTTACTTGCATTTATTAATAATAAAAAAAAGTATATTGAAAAATATGAATTATTAACAAAACGAATAAGAGTCATTTAGAAACAAACAAAATATATGAAAATATTAAAATATCAAGAAATAGTACGCAAATATTACACAAAAAGAAAGAACTAATAAAAAAAGAAATATTTAAAAAATTAATTAAATTGATTATATTAACGATATGAATGAGCAAAAATGTAATTTAATAAATTAATATTAAATAAAAATGAAAGACTTTTTATATTTAAAATTTAGAAAATTATTATATTTTATAATAAATAACAAGAAACACATTGGGGTTATACATCTACATAATTTAAAGCAAAAAATTTTTGAAAGTCTCTTGTTAAAGATAAATTCATTATTATTGAGCCAAAAATATAAATTAACTAAGTAATTTTGAAGTTAGGTGTGTTAATAAAAAAAAACCTCACGACTT